GAGTTGCCGTATGGTGTAGCGATGGCGAAGCAGAGCAGGGTGCAGAAGCCAACCACGAAGTCAACAACGAATAGTGTCGCTTGGTGGACATTGTATTCCCGAGAGCCAAGAGGCCGAATTAGGATTTGGGTCCCTCTGTCCGTTTGTGACGCCTCGGCGCGCCGTTCCAATGCAAGCACCACCACGCAGACGGGCACAGAAGTTTGCGCATACGAGTCCAAAGGAGAGTGAATCATCGCTGCCAGATCCGTGGGTAGGCAATTCTCCTGCGCGGCGCTCCCACTGCTGGTTGCTGCGCCTCCGCCTCGTTCTCATCCTCCATGATCTCCATCTCCACCACCACTTACAACATGACCATCCGCTGAGCCTGACTTGCTGCACTACTCCTCCATGGCAACTTCCCCCGCGATGAACCTCTGGCTCCCCGGATTCTTGTCCCCATGCATCCACGCTAGCGGCTTGCATCCTGGGCAGGCACACCTTGGTCTCCGTCGTGGTCTCGTTCATACCCAGATGCCCTCTCCTGGTGCACGCCAGCCGTTACTCGGCCTCTCCTCCAAGTTGAGGTGAGCCCGGGGTGACACTCCCGTGGCTCGTCGAGGGACACAAATAAAGAGATCTATCCTCGCGCCGACGCCCTGGGTTCCTCCTCCAAACCCGCTGCCCTTGCTCGTGGCATCGTCCTCTCCATTCCCTACCCCAAACCCCCTACATATCTTTGAGTCACTTGCACTGCTGCTCTACTCTCTCTCACAAGTATAAGACGGGAAGAAAATAGAGTAGAAAAGAAGTGATCATGGCAGCCGGGGTCAAGAAACCCGTCAACATCTTCCGTCTCCGGGACTTGGGTGAGCCAGAAGGCGTCTTCAACTGGCGCCTGTGGTTTGCCGTCGTCTCCTTTGGTCTGCTCGGCGCTGCCCGCGGAATCGACGAGGGCCTCATCTCGGGCGCCTTCAACTCACCCGACTTCAAGGACATGATCCACTACTCCAGCTACTCCAAGGTCGATCAGGCCAACATCAAGGCCAATGTCTCCGCCATGGTCCAGATTGGGTCCGTCGGTGGCGCGCTCATGTGAGTCTCGTATACCCTGACATTCCCCTGGGCTGGTTTCACAAAGATAGCTCATGCTGATGATGGCTTTCCCACAGTGCCTTCTTGATTTGCGATCGGATCGGTCGAATCCAGGCAACCCGCGTCCTCTGCTCGCTCTGGGTCATCGGCATCATCATCTTCATGGTTGGAGGTATCAATGGAAACCTGGGCGCCATCTATGCTGGCCGCTTCATCGCTGGCCTCGGTGTCGGCCAAACGCCTGTTGTAGGGTGAGCTCAAGCCAATCTGCTTGTCCGGCTTCTTCAGCGTCTCTGACTTGTTCGAAGACCAGTCTACATCGCCGAAGTCGCCCCGGCATCCGTTCGAGGTCTTTGCACCTGCTTCTTCACCGGCGCCGTCTACATCGGTATCGTCCTCGCCTACTTCACCAACTACGGAGCCGCCTTGCACATCGACGGCCACAGCCACAACCGCTGGCTCGTCCCCACCAGTCTCCACGTCATGATGGCCGGTATCATCTTCATTCTCACAGTCTTCCAGTATGAGTCACCACGTTTCCTAGTCAAGCAGGGCAAGCCCGACCTTGCTGCCGACATAATGAGCAAACTCCGCCAGCTCCCCGTCGACAGTGACTACGTTGTCGCCGAGATCACCACTATCCAGGCCGCTCTCGACCACGAGCTCGAGGCCACAAAGGGCGTTGGCTGGCTCGGCAAGATCAAGGAGATGTTCCTCGACAAGAGCAATCTCTATCGCGTCTACCTCGCCACCATGGTCCAGCTTCTCTCCCAGTGGTCAGGCGCTGGCTCTATCACCCTTTACGCGCCCGACCTGTTTGCCCTCCTGGGCATTACTGGTAGCGAAGAGCGTCTGCTCGTTACCGCCGTCTTCGGTATCATCAAGCTCATAGCGGCTCTCGTGTGTGCCCTGTTCCTGGTTGATGTCATCGGCCGGAAGCGCGCTCTTCTCACCGGCATCACCCTGCAGTCCATTTCCATGATCTATGTTGCAAGTTTCCTTACGGCCGTTCCCCAGATGGGTGTCGTCAAGGGCTTCGTACTACCGAACGACAAGAAAGGCGCGAGTCGCGGTGCCATTGCCATGATTTACATCTCTGGCTTCGGCTGGGCCCTTGGTTGGAACTCCATGCAATATCTCCTCACCGCCGAGCTGTTCCCTCTCAGGATCCGTGCTCTGGCCACATCTTGGGCCATGACGCTGCACTTTGCCAATCAATACGGCAACACTCGTGCGGTCCCCAACATGCTGCTCCCTGTCTCCTACGGCGGAATCTCTCCCAAGGGCACATTTTGGTGCTTTGCAGCTGGTAAGCTCTTCTCCGCCGTAAATGTTGCAATCCCGCGCTAACCTAGGAATAGTCACGATTGTTGGCGGCATCTGGGTATGGTTCTCCGTGCCTGAGACCAGCGGCCGTAGCCTCGAGAGCATGGACCGTTTGTTCGAGCTTCCCTGGTACAAGATTGGTCTGTACGGCAACAGGGACGCAGAGCAGAAGGATATCGCCTACGATGAGAAGCAACTCGTTGCCGAAGAGGAGCGCGGGACACAGCAGCGCGTTTAGAAGACGGTTAACGTCTCGAGCGAGTCGCACGAAGTCATGTAACACTGCGACATGACCTAGTATTCGGTGCCTGACAAGGATACGGATACGCGAGCAGTCGCTCCGCTCAATGGAATAGATGCAACAACGATCGGAGATAGTACATACAACAGGCTGGAGACAAGTTCCCCGTACTCTTCTGGAATCTACATGCACGTCAGATTTCCCCAGAGTCTCTCGCGTATCTCGTGAATTCTCACAGTAAGCTTATTTTCGTGTGGGCCAACCGTCGGATAATGGCACTGAGCCAGTCCAAAACCGGTCATACGAGACCAACACCAGTGACAAACCTTCGACGGACCGAGCTAATGGAGCGACCAGGGATTGTTGGCCGCGACCGGTGGCTCGGCAGAATTGCCGTTGCACCTTTCCCTCGCACGGTACCACAATACATGTAACCGTGGACGAGTGAAAATTGCAATACCGAAGGCGAGACGGCCCTGGAAGGACCTGACAAGAGCACATATACAAAAGAGCCGCCTCGCCCCTCCCAGGTTTCCGAGCCTCTGGCCAAACGTATCGGAACGCAGTCTCTTTGTGAGAGAGAAGACAAGAAAGATTCTAGAGGAACGAGAGCTAGATCGGGCTCGTAGACATGCACACCGACTATCACAGAGGCGAGAGAGACGTCTCGCTAGCAAGAACGCATTGCAGATCCCCGCTGCGGAGGACTACCTTCAGTTCATCTCGTTAATATTGGTGCAATTGGCCCGACAGGAGAATTTGCTGTTGAAACAGGCAAGTGAAGGGAGAGCGGCCGGCAGGATTCTGCAGGCACGGGAGAAGATCAGGGCTGAGACAGTCGAAGCGCTGCGGACCGTGATGCAATGATAGCTGAACTCAAGTAGTGTAGCACGCTTAATACAATTAATGGGTATTGATGCAGGACGCAACTTAGAGCAATGTATCCCCCCCGCCATGCCCTGCTGTGACCAAGTCTCAAAGTTGTGCTGGGTGCTTTGTCCCCGTTCGCTACAGATGCTGGTTCAGCGAACCAAGGCCATGGTGGGTACCAGCGTGGGTGAACTAGTACCCAGGGTGCACTGGTTCACCTGCCCCAGATCGAGCGCGGCACTGGTGCCAGCGGCTCCCCAGAGCGTGCCTAGCCCCTGTGCGCCAGTGGTTCTGGGCCATGCACACCAGGCCAGTGAAATAGGCCCTCGGCTTCTGCCTGTCTAAGCAGCCCGTCGTTGCCATGCCGGGCATGAGGCGCTGGTCCGGGGATGCTCTGTGGTAATGGCGGTTCACAAGGAAAACGAGGACGGCGGCGGGGAAGGAGGCGTGCGGGAAGTGCCTTCCCTCCGCAGTATTGGCTGCGTGCTCAGCGGCATCAAGGCCATCGATGACGTTGGGTGTGGCACTGCCCGTGAAAGGATGTCGAACAATGTCGCTGCCGTGATCGAACACGCCATCAGGCGTTGTCTGACACGATGGCAGCACGCACATAAGCTGCAGTAGTTCAGGGGCTATGTTGGTCGTTTGGCCCCTGCGCCACAACGTCTATCATTGGCACGTGCCGCTTCATTTTCTCGAGCCTATATAACGGCCTCTTCCGACATAAAACGCTCCGAATCCTCAGCCTCTCAACAGTAACGGTGCTATGGTCCAAATCCTCTTTACAGGCGAACAGGTCAGTTACCCCTTCCCAGAATGGACAAAGTCCTGACATGTCGGCAGGAAAGACAATGCAGGATGCATCAAACGACGAAGCTCCACCGCCGTACATAGGCACAGGTCTACGGAAGAGGAGTCTGCCTTTCGAGTGGACATCCAAGAGTACTGGACAAGCGAGGCAGACGTCTTGCGACATCTTTTTGACTCTCAAGGCTTGTGTCTAGCGGAGATAGATGGGAATTGGATCTCCTATGACAGCAAGGAGGCATCAGCGCAGCCAGTGGCAAGAATATCGTTCAGTTGCGGGTGGCATGCAGAATATTCCCTGGTTCGCGACGGAGCCAAAAGGGTCCTTATCGGACGATGGGAGAAAAGAAGGTACGGCAGGTTGAACTCAGATTGTGGCTAATTAACGCCATGACCCGGCTGTTGTGGCCATCCTCGGGAGTGGATGAGCCCCGGAAGACAATCACAGAGGTACAGTACACATATTGGGATTCAAATTTCGAGCCTACACAACAGCCCAGGGGACACTTCTCCTGGGAGCTGCTCTGCTAAGATAGATGTTGTAGTCTGGATTCTGGTAATGCTGAACTTGGGCGCTGGCGTTGACTCTTTCATGCAAAGAAAATCTGCACAGTTTGTGTGTGGCCTCTCTTTGTGGCGGCCTGGAGAGTGCTCTCGTACTCGCCGCCAGGTCGTTGACGTCTTGCCATGAGCCGGTGAGGTACATTCGTATCCAGCTTTTGCGATGTGGCTCATACCACCATGGGTGGATGTCCAGTTCTGCAATGAGGATAGAGAGACGCCCGCTGCGTAAGTACTGCTGTTGTCTGGGCAAAGCTATTGTCTCTTGCGAGCTGGCCACAGCACAAATGGGCACCTCCTGCTACCACCTGGAAGTCCTAAGGAGCGGGCCACGCAAACCCAAGTAGGTGTGGAAACAAGGAAGGCGGGGAGTTGCGCGAGAAGGTAGCCGGAGGACTGAATCAACAACGAGGGGCCGTTTCACTCGAGGCCGTTGGCACTCAACACCCCTCACTTCACTTTCACTTCATCTGCTTCAACGGCCTGCATATGGCGCATCGTCGAGACTTGCCGCTCGCACACATGGACGGCGACTGGCTGTCGCTCCCCAAGCCCAAGGCGCTGCTGCACGAGCTTGAGGCCGAGTTGCTGGCATACTCGCCCGAGGAGCTGGTGCGCATCGCCAACGAGCAGGTTCGGTGATGCGACGCCGAGATGAGGCGCGCATTGCGCGAGCTCGACAGCGACGACTGGAAGCGGCCATGGGGTACGTCAAGACCAAGTCGGTGCCCGGGCGAGCAGACGCAGCTGGTGGTGGAGCCGCGCGCGAGGGCGCCAACTTCGTGCGCGAGCACCAGTGCAACTGCTTTGTCGGCGCGCCGCAGCTGTTTGAGCCAGTGCTGCGGCAAGGGAAGATGACGACCAGGCCTGCCACCCACTCCCAGGCAGCGGAATGCTCTACCAGCGAATCCCCCACCCTCAAAGCTCCTGTCCCAGCGTACTCTCCGACCTAGAACTGGCGGCGTTGCCTTGGTGTCACTGGCTCCTCGCCCTACGATCGATCACCGTCGGCACCTCTAGAGGTTTGGTAGCCGCTACTCGTCATACTGCAAATTGGCACGACGAAGGAGGTGTGTCGCAGTTCTGCAGGCGTGGCATCATGCCAAAGTGGGCGCTTCCATCACGCTGAGCACCCTCTGAGGGCTGGTCCACCTTCCGCCCCGCTGGATGACACATGCCCACCTTTCCTCCAGCGACACTTTTCCTCCAGCGACACCTTTCCTCCAGCGACACAATTTCTCCAGCGACACGTTTCTCCAGCGACACTTTTCCTCCAGCGATACATTTCCAATACAATCAGCTTGTGCCAAGGTCTTTTCGGTCCTATAATCTCAAGGATCCGTGTACGCTCCAATGCCGCCCACCCAATGCATCTGCGGTCCGTCGTTTCCGGCACGCAGCTACTGGCATCATCAGCAAATCAAGCATGTCCATTGCCGTGGAGCTTACTTACCGGTAAGAACTGGTCGTAGCACGAGAAGGAAACTGGCCATTCCGGCGTCTAGATCCGTCCACAGCCATGCTATAGCCGACGTTCTTCCTGGGGAGGCGACGCGTATATGTGTGGGCGATATCGTGTAGTCGATGCCGTCAAGCCTTCGTTGTTCTCGGCCGAGTCGTAAAGCAGGCATTGGCGCACTTCCTCGTCTTTGGCCGTTCGTCGGTTGTGTCGCGGCCGTTGGGCCGTGGAGGTAGCGACACCGTGTTGACGTGAACGCCGTGGTGGTTTGCAGATACAGCCCCTCGTTGGATTATTTGCATAATCGTGAATGCCTTAAGATGCGCGCAAATATTTTTGACGGATTTAAAGCTCTGCCTAGAATGCTGAGCGGCAAGCCGTCACTCTTGGCACGAAAAATTCATTACCTGTCGTCCTGACGAGACCGATGCGATCACCGTCTTGTTGCGGACTGAGGCTCCCCGATGCTGTCGTTTGCTAAAGGCTCGCACCGCGCCCACAATTGTTGAACGACCGGACAAGCTCTCGGAATATTGAATACTCAAGTATGCGCTTGGTGGCTGGGCCGCCGGCCGGTGAGTCCGTCTGTCTTGCGGTACTTTGCTTTTTGGTTTCCAAAACGTTGGCTGACACCTTCGGCGCTCGTCGTGCCAGTGATCACTGGTGTGGCTGTTCCCATTGTTGGCATGAGGTTGGCAATTCGATATGCGGTGCGTTGCAGAGCTATGAAGCATTTGTGGGCCATAGTATTTCTGCTCCGAAGCGACGAACGTTGGGGCGGCAGTCCTTGCTGTGGCGTCTCATGTTGCTCCGGACGCTGAAGGACCTACCACAGTCGCCATTCGGACAGACGAATGGCTTTTCACCCGTGTGGGAATAAGTGTGGATGCGAAGGGCGCTTGGCCGGCTGAAACCCTTTTTGCATGTTTGGCAGATGTACCTGCCACGTTCCAGCGGTGGCGGAGCGTCACACGGCGGTGCAAATTGTAGCCACTCATGCGCACCCAGCGACGGTGCCTGCACCGAGGCTGGCGGTGAAGTGAACGAGTGATCGTGTGGATGGCAATGCAGAAGACTGGAGGCGAATGGGTGAATCGGTATTGAGGTGCGCCGCTGTGAGCGTAAGGATTTACGCAACTGCGTTTGTGCACCGGAACAGCTTGTGCGATATGCCTGTCGAGAGGTCGGAACTGGCAACGATGGCGGCGTGACTTTGCTTGATAGTTGCCTTCGTCGAACGTCATTAACAGCTCTGGTCGTCTCACAAGCTTGACCGCATGGGGAATTGTCATATCGCTCGGGCTTGTGCGAAGGCGCGTTGTAGTTCTCGAGAGAGGCATCGCCTCCCGTCCCCGACATTAGGGGCTTTCCCATGGGAGGAGAAGACGTTCTAGAATCGCATCTGGTAGAGAGGCGATGAGTGGGACTGCCCGGCCAGGTTGCTTGCGCTACTGACGCTGCGGCTGCGAAGAATAGCTGTTAGCAAAGGAATCCGTCGTGAACTATCGTTTCGCTGTCGAAGTGTGCCTTCGGCACAAAGTGATTCCAATGGTGAGGCAAGTAATGACTCGTCCGAAGGTGACCCTCTATCAGCCAAGACCAAAAGTTTGGAAATTGAAGGGAGCGAATATGGCATGTTCGCCATGTGCAGTAGCGGCGACGCTTATGGTCCTGCGAGGAGCAGCGGTGCTCAGTAGCGGTCCTGTATACTGCATCTATCTCCAAGGCGAGTTGTCGACAAAGAGAACATTCACAGCAGCAACGACAAGGTAGAGGTCAAGTAGGTGTCGGGGAAGAAGCATCGAGGCAGACGCCAGCTCCCTTGGGAGCCAGGAATGGTTGACAGTGGCGGGCGAGGGAGCAGCGAAGCAAGGAGATATTCTTGGACGGTACACACCAATTGTGAAGCCAGGTTTCTTCAACAGTACAGACGGCGTGTGCTGTGGACTAGCATTGTGGATAGGGTCCATGTTCACTGCATGCGAATCCACCCGTATTTGCACATACGTGGACGAAGTTGATGGCACCAATTTGAATGGCCTCGCGACTGTCCCCTCAGAAACTCCTGACCCAAACTCGGCCGACGGCGAAACCTTTCCGTCGCCCGAAACTGCGAACCGACGGGACGAGCCTGGTTAGGTTTCCTTTTACTGAGTGTGGCTGTGACTAACTGCTCTGGCGTGCGCTTGCATAGCTCCGCCTTTCACACCACTGAAATCAGCCCGTAGATGTCTACTAAATCGTCACGACTTGCGCCAGTCGATTTGCCGTCGGCTGCCGCCTCTCACCAGTTACGTTGCTGTTGCCCGAAGTGCTATCCCTCATCCCCGGCTTGTTCCGAACCCAGACCGTACACCCCGCCACTGCATGGAACCGTGACACCCGGCCCGCTCATGAGAAAGTGATATCCGTGAGTACGGGTCGGGATGGAGCTGTGATTGGAATCGGCTGGGCTTGTCGCTGAGATAGTCCACATCTCGCAGATCCCTTTGTGGATATCAGATCTCAGGCTGTCATCTGGTACGAGCCTTGGTTCGTGTGCCAAGTGTTGGACAGTTGAATTCGCCGCAGCTTCAGTCCGGCGTCTCAAATTGCAGCTGTAATCGGACAGCTCCACTGTTGATGCTGCATTGTACGGCTGACCGCTGGCTTTATCCGTGATGTCCCGAACCGGGAGCTCCCACTGTGGCGCGGTACGTGTCAAGATGGAGAGAGAAACAGACTCCTTAAGACGTGTGAGCTCTTCCTCAAGCGCTTTATTGATGTTGAGCAGCTCTCGAACTAAACTGCCCCTTGTTTGACCTTTCTTGAGAGCATCTACCTCTCGCTCAAGCCGCATTATGTGCTCCTTCGTCCGTGCTCGGATCGCTCTCTGTGCGTCACGGTCGCGGGCGCGTTTTCGCTCAAGCTGGGACGGTATCTAGCTAGAAACATCTCTCGTTCCTACTGTACCATGACGGCTCAAGTTAGTAGCTATCTGGTTGAGGATGTATCGCGGGTAAGGGGGAGGAATGTACGCTTTCGTGTGGGGACCTGATATTGCTTCGCCAATTGTTGATAAGGCATACTAGCCGAAACAAAGCTGTATACGATGCCACGTTTGAGCCGGCTATGGTGATAGACTTGGTGACTCTGTCGTAATCTGGCGAAGCCCAAGTATAGCGGTTTTGCTTCAGTTATTGTACCATTTATACGGAGACAACCTGCCCTAGAGCGTGCGCCCACGTAGGCATGATCCGGACCCACTACTAGCAAATAACAGTTCTGCTTCACCTCTCTAATACTGCCTGTCACCAAATCGTCACCTATTCGGCTCGGTTTCGAGGTTTGTTTGGATGCCATCCAACTGTCGTATACCAATTTAGTAATCGGGGATCGCCGAAGCCATGCTTGGGCGCAGCCTGTCACTGCCCGATGCTGATGAAACTGCCACCCAACATTTACGCCCGTGGGGCAAGGCTAGAAATCCTGCAGATCTGGTTTGGTCTGTATGTTCGTGCTGGCGTTGTGTGGGGCCCAGGATGACGCGGCAGTTTTTGTACCATCGCGTCCAGCCATTGAGGCGACTAGTGGGCCTGCCTGCGACCTTTAAGTTTGCGACCAGGTACTAAGCCCCAAACTACACACACCCGCTCCGGGGGACGCTGGTTCACTACATGTAACCTTCAGGAGGGCCTGTATGGCACGCTGGCTTGCGCTGCTTCCAAGCCAGACACGCCTAGTTCTCTACGGGAGAAGTGGACAGCTCAGATTCAAGATGGGAATGGTAATGGTAATGGTAATGTATTACGCCCGGGGGGGTCACCCATAGGGCCTCAACGCTGCATCTATTTACATTCCCATACGCTCGATTCTTTACACCCAAAGCCCCACATTGTCGTCCTATCATCATTTTGTGCTCGTCGTTTTTTGTCTCTTGACTCTGTGCTTAAAACTTTTCTTAAACCCTTCGATCTGTTCTTCGTAGCTTGACCTGTCCTTTCAGAATTCTGGAGCCTGTCCGATGCCGCACAGGCCACTCTCCTCCGCCGCCTTTGACGAAGAGCCCAGCTGCCCATAGCCGTTCGATGGAGCTAACCTAACCATGTAGGTAGAGGGATGGCGCTGAAAAGCAATGTTGAGACAGAAGGGTATGCTGTCAGTATTGTATGTCGATGGTCGCAAATTGGCCCGCAGGCCACAATTTCGTCTCGTCGTCTCATTGTCTTGTCGTCATTCGCGTGCCCAATGGCCGGACCCATCAACGGTTCCGCCCATGGCTTCGTTCCCACTGTCCGTGACATCACCCACGGCCCAGCAGCATGGTCGTGACCAGCTTTCGAAATGAAGTCGAACTCTCCAAAGTCCTTCATTCGTGCTTGTTAGCGCCTAGTCAAGGCCTACCAAGCCAAAGCATGGTCGATTGGCCTGCAATTACCCCGCTTCTCTAACAAGCTGCTAACAGCTGCAAGAAGAGCGGGGTTTTTACAGGGGAGAGTTCTCAAGATGGGAATG